AACATGCTGTATGCTGTATAAAAATATAACATTTTGAAATATTTATAATTATCGGCCTATATATATCGGCTATCAGCCTCCAAGTCTGAAGAATTATCAGTTATTTGTATCGGCCAAAAAATCCATATCGGTGCATCCCTAATTTAAATGTGTGTTTATTTACTGCATTTACAGTAGAAGTCAGAATTATTCGCTCCCCTGTTTATTTTTCCCCAATTTCTGTTTAACAGAGAGCAGATTTCTTCAGCACATTTCTAATCATAATAGTGTTAATAACTCATCTCTAATAACTGATTTATTTTCTCTTTGCCATGATGACAGCACATAATATTAGACTAGATATTCTTCAAGACACTTCTATACAGCTTAAACAGACATAGTTACCCAGGTTAGGGTAATAAGTCATTGTATAACGATGGTTTGTTCTGGAGACTATCAAAAAAATTGCCTAAAAGGGCTAATAATATTGACCTTAAAATGGTGTTAAAAAAATTAAAAACTGCTTTTATTCTAGCCAGAATAAAACAAATCAGACTTTCTCCAGAAGAAAAAATATTATCAGACATACTGTGAAGATTTCCTGAATCTGTTCAACGTCATTTGGGAAATATTTAAAAAAGAAAGAAAAATGAAGCGGGGCGAATAATTCTGACCTCAACTGTATAATTAGTTCATAATAGAATATTCAGTAGCTACAAAAAGGAAAAGAACATTTATTTTTTTATATTTTGTATGGGATTTTATTGTTTGCTATTATTTATTTTTAAATATTGTGTGTTTATTTTATGTTTATAGAGTGCATTTTGTTGAATTTTTTGTTAATTGCATATTCAACTCTTGCATTTATATGATGTAACCTCATTTGACTGTAGCGCAATTTAATGAGCGCATAATATTGATCGTGTTTGTAATTGGAGTGATCTGTAATTATCTAAAGCTCTCGCATCATTAATTATAGATCATAGATGAGATATAATGCAATCAACACATCTCGTCAACATCTGAATATTCATGAGCTCTAAGTGCTCGTTATTAAAAGTGGATTATTTTAATCGAATGACTGTGGAGGAGTTTAATGCTTTATTCAAAGCACACGAATGTGGTGTAAAACGAGGATTACTTTACAGTCGCACCATCACAGAGCTCAGATTTTAATATTCATGAGAAGAGGCGCGGTTAGGACAGTCCTCATGAATATGTAATGAGCTGTGTTGTAGATCAAACAGGCTCCTGTGTGTGTTTGTGTTGTATTGACGGTGTTTCTCGGTGAATATCCTGAAGGTGGATGTTCAGGATTCCTCAGCCGCTTCTTCGCTTTCATCATCGGCTGCTAAAACACTTTCTTAGCTCCTTTCCCTCGACTCTGGACAGAAATAAGGCCACGTCCTTATCAATATTTCACATCAGGTGCACGGGTTACCATGGCAGCCATATTGAACAGGGCGAAAGGAAAAGAGCATTTACAGAGTTCAGGGCTTTCAGACACACACACACACACACACACACACACACACACACGTACAGACCATACACATAGATTCAAACACACACACACGAACACGCATGCACGCACGCACACTTACAGACATACAGACAAACATACACATACAGACAGACACATAGAGACTCAAACACACACAAACACACACACATAACGACTTACACACTTGCAGACATACAGACAAACACATACATACACACACATTTAAAGACTCTTACACATGCACAGATTCACATATGCATCAAGATTCATGCACACACACACACACACACAGGCACACGCACATACACACGTACAGACTCACACACTTGCAGACATAGAGACAAACACACACAGATACAGAAAGACACATAGAGACTCAAACTCACACACTGTTTATTTACACACACATACAGACTCTTACACACACACACACACACACACTTACAGATATACAGACAAACACACACACATACACACACATAGAGACTCAAACACAGACACAAACACACACACACACACACACACACACACATACACACTTACAGATATACAGACAAACACACACACACATAAACATACAGACGGACAGACACAGAGACTCAAACGCACACACTGTTTATTTACACACACATACAGACACACACACACACACACACACACACACACACACACACACACACACACACACATACACACTTACAGATATACAGACAAACACACACACACATAGAGACTCAAACACAGACACAAACACACACACACACACACTTACAGATATACAGACAAACACACACACACATACACACATAAACATACAGACAGACAGACACAGAGACTCAAACGCACACACTGTTTATTTACACACACACACACACACACACACACGTTTAAAGACTCTCACACAGACACATGCACAGATTCACACACGCATCGAGACTCACATACACACACACACACACACACACACACACACACATACAGACTCACACTCTTGCAGACATACAGACACACACACAC